GGACTTCAGTTTCCTCTTTTGTAAAATGGGGGTAACAATAGAACCCATTACAAAGGGATTGCTCAGGGTTAAATGAGATAATGCACATTGAGATAATGCAAGGGCATCTAGTACATTGCAAATAGTTGAGTGTTCAGCAAGTGTTAACAGTTATGATGTGAATGATGATGTTTAAATTGGGGCAGCCTTGCCAAAAGATGGAAGATTTACCATATCTGTTATCTCCTCTCCTTTCCATTCACTCATCTCCAAACTATACCATTTATACTAAACATGGTAAGGTGTGCACATTTTGTTTATTTTATTGCTATTCCACTAAAAATTATTATTAAGCCAGCCTCCTTTATTAAGTTTTTGGCACAAGAGACTAAGGCAGTAATTGGAGAAGCTGTTAGTTGTCATACAGACTTTTCTCACTTTGTAGTTTTTCTACAAGCTGCAAGATCATGTCTAATTTAAAAGGCGTGATGTTTAAGGCCAGAGATCAGGGCAGGAAGGAGGAGGGATCATTGTGGGGCAGGAGTGCCTTCAGTACTACAGGGAGCCTGTTCCATTGACTAAGGCCTGACCTACACTGCCTCTGGGATATAGGGAGAAAGACAAAGCACTTCAGGAAGCTAGGGGCCAGAGAAGAGTTACTGCCATAATTTGCTACTATAGCTTCCCTGTCCTTCAGTCAATATATGCCTTTCTTCTCTCCCTGGTAGCAGCAGAAGAGGGGCAGAAATAATAAGCCACGGTTGGCTCGTGAGGCTTCTTCCAAAGACCTGGTCCATACTGGAGGGTGTAGCCTCCCCAGAAGCCAGAGATTGTTCCTGACCTATGGAAAATAGCTTACTTTCCAGGAAAAAATATTTTGGGTCCATTGGTGTGAAGACACAGTCCTGAGCTGTTTTCACTTCTTGAATTCTATACTGTTGCTAAAAATGACTTTTTTCCTTTCAGAATTTTTATTTTTATTTATTTATTTATTTATTTCAGAATATTACGGGGATACAAACGTTTTGGTTACATAAATTGCTTTTGTGCCATTTGAATCAAAGTTATAAGTGCACAGATAGTGTGCACTGTACCCGTTAGGTGTAAATTTACCCATCCCCTTGTCCCCCCTCCCTCCTGCTTGATTTCCAATGAATGTTATTTCTATATGTGCACATAAGCGTTGATTGATTATTTCCTATTTAATGATGAGTACATGTGGTGTTTTTCCATTCTTGTGATATTTCACGTAGAAGAATGGTTTCCAGTTCCATCCAGGTTAATACAAGAGATATTAGTTCACTATTGCTGAGTAGTACTCCATGGTATACATACACGACATTTTATTAATCCACTCATGTATTCATGGGCACTTGGGTTGATTCCACATCTTTGCAATTGTGAATTGTGCTGCTATAAACATTTGAGTGCAGGTGTCTTTTTTATATAATGTCTTTTTTTCCTTTGAGTAAATACCCAGTAGTGGGATTGCTGGATCAAATGGTAGTTCTACTTTTAGTTCTTTGAATTATATCCATACTTCTTTCCACAGAGGTTGTACTAGTTTGCAGTTCCACCAGCAGTGCATGAGTGTTCCTGTCTCTGCGTTCATGCGAGCATTTATTGTTTTGGGACTTTTTGATAAAAGCCATTCTCGCTGGAGTTAAGTGATATCTCATTGTGGTTTTGATTTGCATTTCCCTAATGATTAGAAATGTTGAGCATTTTTTCATATGTTTGTTGCCCATTAGTCTATGTTCTTTTGAAAGGTTTCTGTTCATGTCCTTTGCCCACTTTTTAATGGGGTTGTTTGATTTTTTTCTTGCTGATTTGCTTGAGTTCTTATAGATTCTAGTTATCAGCCCTTTATCGGTTGTATAGCATGCAAATATTTTCTCCCATTCTGCAAGTTGTCTGTTCACTCTCATGTTTATTTCCTTGGCTGTGCAGAAGCTTTTTAATTTGATCAGTTCCCATTTATTTATTTTTGTTGTTGCTGTGATTGCTTTTGGGGTCTTCTTCATAAATTCTTTGCCTAGGCCAATGTCTATTAGAGTTTTTCCAACATTTTCTTCTAGAATTCTTATAGTTTCATGCCTTAGGTTTAAGACTGTTATCCATCGTGAGTTGATTTTTGTAAGTGATAAGGGGTGTGGATCCTGTTTCAGTCTTCTGCGTGTGGCTATCCAATTTTCTCAGCACCATTTATTGAATAAGGATTCTTTTCCCCAGTGTATGTTTTTGTCTGCTTTGTCAAAGATCAGATGGCACTATGAGTATGGTTTTATATCTGGGTTCTCTGTTCTAATGCATTGGTCTATGTCTCTGTTCTTGTGCCGGTACCACGCTATTTTGGTTATATAGCCTTGTAGTACAGCTTGAAGTCTGGTAAATTGATGCCTCCCAATTTGTTGTTTTTGCTTAAGGTTGCTTTGGCTATACAGGGTCTTCTCTGGTTCCATAGGAAGTGTAGAATTATTTTTTCTAGATCTGCGAAAAATGATGTTGGTATTTTAATAGGGATTGCATTGAATCTATAGATCATTTTTGGTAGTATAGACATTTTAACAATGTTGATTCTGCCAATCCATGAGTGTGGTATGTTTTCCATCTGTTTACATCCTCTGCTATTTCCTTCCTCAGTGTTTAGAAAACCCAAAGATTCTGCCAAGAGACCAGTGGAATTGATAAATAAATTCAGCAAAATCTCAGGTTACAAAATCAATGTACACAAATCAGTAGCGTTCATGTACACCAACAACAGTCAAACTTAGGACCAAATCAAAGACTCAATACCTTTCACAATAGCAACAAAGAAAATAAAATATCTAGGAATATATTTAACTAAGGAGGTGAAAGACCTCTATAGGGAGAACTGTGAAACACTGAAGAAGGAAATAGAGTTTTTAGATTTTTTTTAGATTCATAATTCTTTCATTTGTGTGTGTCAAAATTATTAGGTCTTTAGGACATTTTATAGGAGACCATTTTCCTTGTAGTTTACATCTCCTGTCTGATGACTCACACCACTATTCTCTAGCGTCTTCATGCTTAAAATCCTGCATTCAGCTTTGTGTCTTCCCTCTCTTTTGCAGCCCCTGTGCCTCTTACTTTGAAACGCTTCTCAGAACTATGTTTTCTTTTCCGATTCCACTGCTACCACCTAGGTTTTAAGCTTATCACTTTATATCTGTATTTGTTATAACAATGAAAAAAATTTTTTTTGGATTATGAAAGGTAATGCATATCCAGTATAGAAAATTCAGAGAATATGGATAACTATAAGGAAGAAAACAAGTTGTCATTTAGAAATAGATGCTACTTATAGTTTGGATTTTTATTTCCAACCTTTAAGGAATGTGTATCTCTATGTGTGTTTGTGTGTTTAAGGAAATGTGGATCTACTCTTTTACATAGTTTCTTACTATGACTTTTACTATTGTGATTTTGATTTTTTTTACTTGAATATCAGCATGTTCCTATATTATTAAGTATTTTTCAAAAAATGTTAATGGATACACAATATTCCCTTACATGGATAGAGCAAAATTTATTTAACAATATTGTTAGCTATTTGTATCCTCTTCTTTTTCAATATTAAAAACAATGCTTGTTTTTCAGTGTGTGTTCACAGTATGGTGTGGTAAGACTGTGGGCTTTGATGCTTAAATGACTATGGTTCAAATCCTAGTTCTGCCATTTATTCCTAAGCCTCAGTGGAATCTAGGCCTCAGTTTCCTTCTTTGTAAAATGAGGATTATAATCGGTAGTACTTAACAACAGACTTGTAACAGTATAAATGAGATATGTGTAAGTGCTCATTTACACAGAGCATGGCACATAGTAAATTCTAATAAATATTAACTGCTATTGTGATATCACCATCATTAATCATCTGCAACTGTTTTTTTCACATAATTCCTAGAAGCTAGATTGTAGCATCAAAGTGTATGAATGTTGTAATATACTTTAATAATATATTGCCAAATTGATTTCCAGAAAGATTCTACCAATTTATAGACACACAAATAGCATAAGTACCTATCTTATGTCACCCCTTGCCATTATCAGATACTACTTTTTTATTATTATATACCAATGTGACATACAAAAATGGTATCTTGTAACTAGCTTTTCTCTGTAATTTTCATTTTTCTTGTTATTTACATTTACCAGTGGAAATGACAACTAGTTTTAAATGTTTAATTCACTAATTGTATTCTTTCTTTGTAAATTATTTATTGAAGCCAATGCCTATTCTTCTATTAACTGGCCATCTTTTTTCTTTCTAAATCAATGAGTTCTTTGTATATTA